AACTGCGACTACGTCAAAGGTCCAAATCGTGTGACCTCGTCGCTATAACGGAGACATGGTTGCGCCCGGATATCACAGACACGGAGGTCGAGCTACCAGGCATGTCCGTCGTTCGGCGCGATCGATCCAGTAAAGGGGGCAGGGTGGCTCTGTACTACCGCAGTGACCTCCAATGTGAGCCCATAGAAGACGTGTACAGTAACGTGCAGGATACTCTTTGGTGTCGGCTGCGTTTAACAGGCAACGACGTCTGTCTGGTGGCGGTTGTTTATCGACCTCCATCCTCTACACCCGAGATGGACTTCAATCTCGCGTCTGCGCTGAGGCTTGTGATCAGCAGGAGATACAGCCATATTCTTATCGCTGGTGACTTCAATATCCACGCTCTGGATGCCCAAGCAACACCTACGGAACAGTTCAAAGCGGATCTACAAGACCTTGTCTCCAGTTTTCCGCTTTATAGCCATATCGACAATCCCACCAGATTCAGAGCAGCAGAAAGGCCGTCCATCCTGGACCGGATATTTACCAACGAAGAACTCATGGTCGAGAAAGTAATCATCGACGCTCCTTTGGGTTGCAGCGATCATGCAGTTTTACTATTCGATTATATATGCTACGCAGAATACCCTGCGGATACTACACGGGAAAGCTGAGTTATCATACGGTACGATGAGCTGGCTCGACTTGCAGAGATAGCCAACTGGAACTTTCTGACAGACGAAGTACCGACAATCGCATGGCCACATTTCGTCAACCAATTTAGCACTCTCGTCGAAGAGGCATCCGAAACTACGGTTGTCCACTCGAAGAAGACTGTTTCATTTGTACGAAGTAGGATACGGAAATGTATGGCAGTGAGGAACTCGGCCTGGCATATCTATAAGGAACACCCGAGCACGGAGAGCTGGACGGAGTATGCAATTCAACGTAATCATTGCACTCAACTCGTTCGTGAGGATAAACTGACATACCAGTAGCACCTGACGGAGCGCATGGTTTCGAATCATAAGCTGCTCTACCAACATGTAAACAACCTGCGCAAGGTGAAACGGGGAATCCCTCCTCTTCAAACGCCAGATGGCATGACGCTGACTACGGAGGATGCGGCGAACGCCTTGCGGCTGCAATATGCTTCGAACTTTCAATGCATTCCTTGGTCATCTGTTCCTTTGTCAGCAGTTGTTTTACAACCAAAACTTACGCACATAACTTTCACGGCGGGGATGGTATTAAAGAAGTTGTTGTGTATGCGTAAGCACAGCTCTCCTGGAATCGACAACATTCACCCTAAGTCCCTTGCGGTAATGGGAGAAAGTTTAGCAGAGCCTCTGGCACGATTCTTCCAACGCTGCTTCGATCAGATGTATGTACCCGAGATGTGGAAATGTGGGATCATAACCCCAATTCACAAGGGCGGTAGCCGTTCTGATCCAGCCAACTACCGTCCTGTAACCCTTCTCCCGGTCCTGTCGAAGGTTGTGGAAGCTATTGTTGCTGACGTACTAACAACCTATCTAGAAGAGTCTGCCTTCCTTGCACATGAACAGCATGGTTTTCGACGGAATCGATCGTGCACCACAAATCTGCTGCTAGCAAGATCGAGTTGGACCAAATTAATTGACAGCGGTGCAGGAGTGGACGTGGTCTACCTAGATTTCTCAAAGGCCTTCGATCGACTAGACCATGGAATCCTGATCTGCAAACTTCAGAGCTTCGGCATTGGTGATCCGCTCCTAGGATGGATCACAAGCTTTCTTCTCCACCGCAGCTTAGAGGTAAAAGTGCGTGGGTCCCTGTCCCATCCAATCCAAGTCGAATGTGGTGTACCACAAGGATCAGTACTGGAGCCGCGATTGTTTTTGATGTATATTGACGACATAGCGGCCCTCATTCTTTCCAACTGCCTACTCTATGCCGACGACATCAAGGTCTGGAGAGCGATCAATACACCCGACGACTCCGCAATACTTCAAGAGGATCTGGATAAGGTGTATGCGTGGTCAGTTCAGAACCAACTCCCATTCAACACAGAAAAATGCAGAGTATTACACTTACGTCACCAATCAGCATTTTTCTATAAACTGGGTGACCATGTGCTTCACACAGCTGCTGAGGAAATGGATTTAGGAGTCTTGATTCAGTCCGACCTTGGTTGTTCAGCCCAGGCAAAGAAAGCATCGAACGCGAGCATTCGAAATTTGGGCCTTCTCCGGCGCACATTTGGACGCTTCGATCCATGCGTTTTTCACCAACTTCTAGGTGCATACATACGACCACACGTGGAGTATGCAATACAAGTCTGGCAGCCGTGGCTGAGGAAAGACCTCTCTGATTTAGAGAAACCTCAACGACGCGCAACGAAGAACGTGAAAGGTTTAGGCCAGTTACGCTACGAAGACAGACTGAGATCGCTCGGGATATTTAGTGGTCAATATCGAAGACTACGGGGAGATTTGATTTTGGCTTATCAGATTCTGACAGACCCCAATCATACCTGCCGCCATCTGCTGGAGCTCAGTAACAACAACAACAACCTGAGAGGCCATCATCTGAAGCTGGCAGTGCAGTACAGCCGTTTGGAATGTCGACGGAATTTCTTTTCCGTGCGTATTTGCCAAGCCTGGAATGCTCTCCCAGCATCTGTAGTCAGTGCACCCAACCTGATCGAGTTCAAAAATCGAGTTGATAGTGCACTCACTTCATTGCACTATCTCCCATAGTACAGTCTAATTTTGAGAGATCCAAAATCCATACTTTAAAAATAATTTTCCCCCCACGCAAATTTCAACAGTGGATTTATATTTTGACGCTTCAAACTCAAACACTTTGCCCCATGCGAATTTCAAGGGCAGTGACTCTTTTAACCAAATACTCCATGCCTCATGATCCCCTCCGGAGTTATAGTGGATTATTATTTTGACACTTCAAACTCGGTGAGTCCACAAGCTTGTAGTGACTCGTTGTTAAACGATTTTACTGAATTGGTTTCCATTGAATTTTTCACACTTCTATGATTTTCGCACTGATCACCCTACGGGATTTGTCAAGCTTTAGCTTTTATACCCGCATAAATCCATTGTTCCATTGTTCCTCAGAAGTGAAACTGACAAACACTTGCGGTTCAAGTTCATCTGCTTCCTGTTTCTTGTCACATGTCGCAGTCAGCATCATTTGCAGCAATGTGAAAGCAAATAAGTTTACCACGTCTGTCGTTTCGTAGCATCTTTCAACTTTATTGAAAGAGGACTGCGCTTTTTCCATTGCCCACTTTTCATGTGGCTACTGGGCTCAGCCAATCCCGTTGATTTTCAAAAAAGTCTACCGAGTGGGTGGGTACGTAACTATATGCAGTGACGTGAACAAGTCGAGGAAAATTGTTTTCCTTGTAGATTAGAAAAGGGGATTCTGAAAGTTATCTTGCCCTTGGTCCATCTATCCTGGTGCTCACTCGCACGTACCTGTCCCTCTTATATCCTTCTGACTAACCCATGACATTTTTGCGACGTTTTGGTTTGTGTCCCAAAATCCATCCATATTCCTGTCACCACCATCGACTCGTGCCGATCGCTTCGGTGCCGTCTATAATGTATGGCCCAGAAAACCAAGTGTATCGGATGCAGTAGGTTTCATTCCCGTTGCCACAGCAAATAAAGTTCAGCAGTGAACCACAAAGCTAGACACAGGAATAAAAACATTCGAAGGTTTTACAACAATGTGTTGCAGTTAGTCGACAGTTGGATTAAAGGATTGGATACAGGTACGTCATATGGGACATAATAACCGCTCGACTTCTGCCTCTATCCAAAGCGATTCATCAGACTTTATGTCGATCGGTTCGTACCCCTGTCATCTCACAAATTAGGTGGCAACTATTAAGACGCAGCCTGGATAAGCAGCGCTCGGCGAGAATGGTAACCGACATTCTTATGTCGTAGACAAGGGAGTCCGAGATTTTGAACCGTCGCGTGGTCCATACCAATGCGTCCATTCGCTCTTCTGGTACTTTATTTAGTGGATAGAAGAACCGCTCGGCCTAATTATCTGTTCCGTGATGACCAGAACTGCTTATTGTCAGCGCAATCCTATGACAATAGCTGGGGCGTTGAAATAAATGTGGATTATATAGTGTTTTGATTCATTTCTTTAATTAGTTCTTGTAGGTGGAAATTGATGCGTCTCCGGAAACGTTATATAGACCAAGTACTTTAAACCCGCCAACTGGTTGTCATGGATATAAGCAATTATTAGGTACACTTAATATTCGAATTTAAATACCCCTAGAGCTTGCTGGTGTGAGCTTAGCTTACCGGTTGAGTGTCGGAAGCGCATCCAGGAAGAATATCCATTTACCTCTCTGGTGAACTATCCGTTCGCTGTTCATACACCTTATTCAGCTACTCAAGAGTACGCTGTTCTATGCCCGCATCGACCCTGGGTTCGGTAACCAACGTTACTGCATGATAAATTCTGATGAAATCTACAAAATTCGGCAAACGAACAAAGGACGCTTATCCGCTCCGACACAACTCTGTGCCTGCGTCGACTGGTTATGGTTCTCGTGTTTGTCATTACTAATTGCTACTGAACGATTCCTACAGCACAAGCTTTTAAGTGCCATATTACATATGACTCCATTTTGTGGTGGTGCAATCGGTTTTATTTCGGCATACTAGGCATAATTTGTTTCCGCTGTAATTATCACCGGAAGGTAGCACAACGAACCAGGTTACCCATGTAGTAGGTGCATTGGCGTGCAACACAGCACAACAACAAATGTGTTATTATCTCGCTAACTCGTCCAGATGTCTGCTTGCCAATTAAAACTTGCTTCCAGTTCCCCTCACCCCCCACAGTTGAAAGTTTGCCTCAGTTTTGGGATGCAGTTGAGAAACGAATAACACTATCTCTTCAATTACCATCACCCTCCCCACCCCTCCACACCCCTTTCATACTCTCTATAAATCCTTCATTACTCAACTCTAACTTTATCAAATCCATCATAATCTTCCCCATTCCCCCAATCCCTCACTTCTATAAACACCAAAATTAAACCCCCAAACCCTCAACCTACCCCAACCCCCAACAACACACACATATACACTCAACCACCTAATAACCACATAACACACCCCCAACCAAAACCCCCCACCACAACACACACCCAACCCCCACAAAACCACCCCCACAACACCCCACCCAACCCACCACACCCCCCACCCCCCCCCCCCCCCCCCCCCCCCCCCACCACCCACCACCACCCCCCCCCCCACAACCCCCCCCCACAACCCCAACCGCCACCCCCCCCCCCCCAAACCACCCCCCCCCACCCCACCACAACCCAAACCCCCACCCCACCCCCCCACCCCCCCCACCCCCCCCCCCACAACCCAACCCCCCCCCCCCCCACACACCAACACACACAACCACCCCCCCAAACCCCCCCCACCCCCCCACACCCAACCCAACCACCCCCAAACCAAAACCCAACCACACCCCCACCCAACCCCCCACAAACACCAACCAAAAACTCCAAAAAACCCCCACCCCCACCCCATACACAACCCCCCCCCCCCCCCCCCCAACCACACAAAAACCAACCCCACACACACCAACCCCCACACCCCCCACCCCCACCCCCACCCACACCCCCACCCCCACCTACCCAACCACCTCATAATCCAACTCCCCAAAAAATACTAACACTCAAATAACCATCCCCTTCACAACCAACCACACACCCCCAACCCCTTACAACCCAAAAATTTCCCCACCATACCCACCAATCAAACCAATACAAAACACCCACCCACCATACAAACCAATCCAATAAAACCCAACAACACACACACATACAACAAAAAATTCTAAAAAACTAAATACTAATAATTACTCTGTACCCCCCACTGGTACCTCTAGCTCTTAATATTACCTTAACCCACTAATTATCACAATAACCAACCCCCACTCCAACGGCACTCATACCGCTCGCCTTACGAAATCAGAAATAGTTAACCCATCCAATATATTACTATTGTAGTTACTCCCCCCCCTGAATCCTGCTAGTTCATACTTGTTTATGTACCATTGTTCTTCACCGTTCGGCAGGTATCCAACTGTTGAATAGTGCTGTGCCTCCGAACGAACCCGTCGTACCTCTACAGCTTCCTGCTAGGATTTGTGTCTGTATTCAACAGGGGTTATTCTTTTTCGCAGCTATCTATCTATGAGTTAAGATTTATTTTCATCGGTTGTTACTCAAAAGATATACAGTGGCACACAAAAGATACATCAGAACCTGAGATAACTCTCATTTTGCTACGTCCTTTAAACGTCCTTTTCACTTAATTAAAGGTCTGCATCAACAGACAACTATGTCTTCTCTTCGGTACACGTTACTTTGCACCGTATGTTACATAAGAACACATATCGCTTTGATTCATACAATCTAAGACGGTTGTTACAACGCCCATACCAAGAAGTCTATTTTACATGCTTCCTCCTGTCAAGGTTGTTTTTCAGCGTTCCAGCGTCTGTCACGTCTTGTTGGATGCCAGTTTTCAGGCATCGAACTTAGTATGTATATTCCATGGGGCAGCTTTGCTGCATGGCCCTCTGCGCCTTCGATTCCTGCTTACCTTCGTGAACATTTCAATACGTTTGCATCCCATTGTATTGTACTGAAATTCATTAGGTTGCGGATTGTTTCAACCTTGTTGAAACAATTCTGCATCATGTACTAGGTGCCGAAATTAGTCTGAGACTTGTCCCGCTCAACTAGGTGTGATACGCTCTGTTACGCCATCTTGCTCGAATTACCAAGGGAGTTGGTTGCTTTCATGTTCATCATCCATTCACATTTGCACTCTGGCCACGCTATATCACACATATGTCCGCGAAAGACAAATCGTGACGAACGGAACACTTGCAGTATTACGCCTCTGGGTAGTCCTGTTTGTATCTTTCATGTCACTGGACAGAAGTGGTGTACTTTCGGCTACTGCAAAGGAGTCGGCTACCTCGCACGGACTCAGATCCTCTCCCTGTGAACTTCCTCCCTTTTCCATGTGTCAGACCAAGTCACATAATATCCGATTAACATGCAATTTCAAAAGGATGTACCGAACTTAGCCACTCCAGACTTGATAGAAAACAATCCATATCATCCCAAATCTATTAAAGGTGCCGCGAAATTTTGCACATTAACTACAACAACGAGCCATGGGACGTAGCGGGGATACAATAATGGTGTTACTGTTTCTCTCTATAAATATATGTTTCGCATTCAACTTATCGTGAAGTATAACAGTTTTGCTAGATATGTATTTGTCATTCTGTACGGCTTTAAGGATGTGTCAAATAATCCACTCACCGCTCTTCGCACTGATCTCATCTTGTAACGCCGCAAAAAAGTGGAGATCAGAGCTCTAAGTTCAGCACCTGGATGTTATTTGGGTCGCAAGGTTTCCAACAGTAGTCAGCAAATGGGAGCACACTAATCACACCGAAAATTATGGCGTTCTTCTGGGAACAGGCTAATGCCTTAACTATTCGCTCTTTGGGGAACTTAATGTCCAAAGGCTAATCTATAGTGATAGTCACTGCGGACAGTAGAGAATAGTGTGGTCTGAGAAGGCAAATCCGATGATCATCAAGTCAGGTCATTGTAATTAACAACATTGTGGTGAAATGTCACTTCCGTCATATAACATCACTTGTCATCCCGAAATACGCCGACAAAGTTGTTTCATTCATTAAAGGGTTTCTGACATACAAATGAACCAACTATTCGGGAAACTCCCGCCTTAGAGTTTTGACAGCCAAATGTGACTACCGTCTATTACCTTCGAGTGAATACACGCTGGAATTCTGTTAGCTATTGGCCTCTCGGATTCATGAGCCATCAGCCGATCAAATCTGGCTGCCGAAGTTGGCGTAGCCCGGCTAAAGTAAAACGCATGGATCGCGTTGTCTCACTTTAACTACATAAATATACAGGCGATGGTTCGTGTTCCATCAGGGTGAGTTAAACAAATCGAATTCGGCTGGCCTCAGAAATATAATCCTGATGGAAGTAGGGAATCGCCAACCATGAGGTCGATCGTCACGCGGTTCGTGTTGCTTCGTCGGTCTGTTTGTCCCAAAAATGGAGGGATCCCCAGCGGTCATAATGCAGTGTTTGTTCCAATCTTCCACAGCCGGCCCAGTTCAGTCAAACAAAGCACAATACACAACACACAACTTATCGTTAACCTTAAGACATATTCCTCTTTTTGGCCCAGGTTCCTCTACACTAGAGTCATGAGGTTACTTTCTAATTCTGCGCTCAATTATTGGATGCTTTGCGCCAGACTAAAACCAACCGCTCCTCTAAGCTGCTGCTGTGACATACACAAACCAGAAATGGTTGGCAGTCTGAAAGTAAAGAGCCCGCTGTGCATTTCCACAGGTCTGATCTGTTCACGGGGCGGAATCGGTCGCAGTGACCGCGAAAGTCGTACTGGGGAGGACGCAAAGTTAAACGCTGGCATACATGACGATGGGAGAGGTAAGACCGATTCTCCTGACAAGTTTATTTTGGTACTGTGAACAATCCCTGATGATGTGCAGTACAAGTCAGCTTTAATACTGTTGCGAATACCTAGGCGTACGTGTGAAACGGTTTCACTGCAGCTAAGGTCTGAGGAGGATCAAAGCGAGGCTTTTAGCTATAGAAGCATTCAACTAGTCTGTTGACTACTGGTGCCTCCTGCTACGCAATGATTGCTTCCAAACACCAATTGATTGTGCCTGTTGTTGAAATAAAGTGTCCAGTGTCGTATGTGCAGGTTCCTGCTTGTTGTCGTTTCACTTTTCATCACCTCACCGACTACATTCAGTGTGTGGTACCGTGTACTAATACGAATCTGTTGATTGACAAGAAAACGCGGTTTCCATTCTCTTGGGTGTGTACACCAGCTAAGCCATCGATTTCCCCTACTTCCCTCATATTTTACGAAATTAATAACACTTTACCAGCGGGAAATGACAAGCTGAGTCGCTACAGGGAGGAATGTGAGGCGTTGATCTATCGTTTCAATGCTGAAGATACAAGTCGGCTTTAGAAGGATTTGGAGCAGATAACCAATGGGTGGGACAGCCTGAATGATCGGTAAGTCAACGCCCTTTCTTTGCTTCTTGCATACAAATGGTTCTTTTTGAATCTTCCCATTTGGTGCTTGCAACAACAGATTAAAATGGCCAAGTGCACAGTTATCCGATGGTATGTAGAGAACTAGCGCGGTACGGTTGGTGAACGTCGCGCCTTCGTCGAAGGGGGTCTCGGGATCGGTCTCACCGAAATGACCTAATCATTAAATTGGCAACTTTTCTGTATCCGAACTATTGACGTGACCGGATGATCTATCCATATTCGATATGCTTCCTTTGTCATCCCTCTTCGGAATGTTTGTATTCATGTTTTCACTACCACTTACATCATCAGCTATGCTTAATTACTTTTAGGTTTGTGGGTACTCAACCTTTCCTTGGATTACCAAATAACATCACAATTTAGACCTCAGTTTTCATTTAAATAAACCTAGGCCATTTTTTCATTGGAACCGTATTAGTGCTTAACTCAGCGGTATGAAGTATTTTGTTAGGTTTTTGAGTACTCGCCGCTATGTCGATTACTTTTGTAGAGTTTAATAGTCAGCCGTCAACCGCTATGTCCCGGTCTCTACTCCCAGCTCACGCAACGATACCTGATGAGTAAAACAAGATCGAAATCAGTCCTATAGTGCTGTGTTGAGAGTGAACAGCTCCGTAACTCTCCACGTCCTTCCTTATCTTTACTTCGGCAACGTGAGGCGTGGTGAGTGTAGTAGCGACGTGGATCGAATCATGGCTTAGGGCTGCGATGCAGTTAGGAACTATGGATAATGTTTGTGTTCCGCTTTTTATTCGGCAGAATGCTATAGCTCAATCGGGAATCGATTTGCAAACTACTTACTTCATTTACAGGTTGCTTTGTCTGAGCAATAACTTGCTAATCCGCTTAAAATCAGATGGTGCTAAGCCAAAATATCCATGTGCACGTTTGGAATCACCCAATGTCGCTGAGCTTTACAAACTGTTGCGCTATTCTTCTCCTTGTGCCTGAGTGAATAAATCGAAAGCATATCGGCAACACGTGCATCGAACTCAGGGAGATTTGTGAATCCATAACAATCTCTGTTGGTCAACAACAACAACAACAAACGTTTTTACCTTTACGCGCATGCGTTAATGAGCAGTGTTTTTCAACCTCCATCTGTTCAGTTCAGTAGTATTTCGCTTGCTCACTTGCATAGCGACAATGACGCATTGCTTGCAGACTGTATAAATCATGGGAACTATCCCATGGTTAACGGCATCCGATTCCTGAGTTGTCTGCCACACGGTCTCCATAGGACAGCCAGAGGACGCTTTCGCCTACAGAGAGACCATGGGCGGCTTGTGCTGCACTACCCAAAGCTCCATCTACACACCCCATATGCAGTGTAAACCCGAAGGACAACACTGGGAGACATGTGGATGGAAGCCACTTTTCACTGTCGGAGCCGATCCACCACCATACAACATACACTGGGGAAGCATGCGTATCAGACGTACACAAGACGGTGGCTGGTCCGTAACTTGTTCCAAACTAGATGAA